AGGCCCGCCGACTTGAAGCGAGCTGCCGAGCTGGTGAGCACAATGGGCCACCGCTACGAGGAGCTCTTCTGCCAGGGCCTCTTCGTTGACGCCCAGTACCTGGTGCAGAGGCCGCGCTGGGACCCTCGCTGGGAGCGCCGCTCGCGTGGCTGGGACGAGGGCGCGCTCGTGGTGCCCGCGGGCTCCCTCGTCTTCACGGACGGCTCCTGCGTCAACAACGACTTCCCGATGGTCAGGAGCGCGGGCTGGGCAGTGGTGGTTCTCACGCCCGACGGCGAGTGGTTGGCGCAGGCGTGGGGGGCAGTGCCGCCTGCCCTTTTGCCCAGCCAGACGGCGAGGGCAGGCGAGGACTACGCGGCGGTGGTCGCCCTCACGGACATCGTCGGCCACTACCACCTCATGATCGACTGCCTCGGCACGGCCGGGGCTTGCAAGGACGCGAAGAGGGCGGCGGCCCCGACGGCCCAGTTTGCCCACCTCTGGGCGAGGGTCGGCGACGCCGCCGAGGGGTGCACGTGAAGCACATCCCCGCCCACCGTTCTCGGGCGGCAGTCGAGCAGGGCGTACTCTCGGAGGTGGAGCTCTACGGCAACCGCCTCGCGGACCAGCTCGCGAAGGCGGGCGCGGCGCTGCGCGCCATCGCCGACGAGGAGGCCCTCCTGCTCCAGGGCTGCCTGGCCCGCGCCCGTGACGCGGCGCGGTGCGCCGCTGAGTTCGAGGTCCAGGCTACGGAGTCGGGCTTGCGGGACTCCTGGCCCATCAGCTCGCTGGAGCTCGTCGACCTCACCCCCTACATGGCGGCGGAGCTCGACGGCGAGACCGACTTCCTGCACGCCGCCGCGGCGGAGCCCGCCCCTGGGACAGGTGGATTCTGCCCACCGACGTCGCAGTCCCAGGGGCGCGGCGAGCTCGAGGTGATGCACGACGCGGAGGTGCGCGGGGCTGCCGCTTCAGCGACTGGCTTCTTGAAGGAGCCCGACGCCGAGCCTGGCGATGACGTCGGCGTAGCGCAGCCCTCGGCGGCTGACGGCGGCCCCCGCCTCGCCACGGCGGCGGCCCTGGCAGCGGTGGCGGCAGCTGGCGCCTCCAGCTCGCGGCCTTCGCCCGCGAGGCGCCGCCCCGCCTCGGCCGAGTCGCCCGCGGAGGTGCTGCGCCGTGTAGCCCAGCGCAGGGCGCAGGAGCATCCGAGGCGCCGCGAGGCCTCGGCGCCCGCGCCCAGCCCGCGCCTGGCGGCGGCGGAGGCGACGAGCAGCGGCCCAGCCCCTGCGGAGGCGGCAGATGCGACCCGTCCAGCGGGATGGAGGGTCAACGGCCACCTCCTCATGGAGTCGCGCGTCGAGGGCGACGTTTCCGAGCCCTTCCTGGTCTGCGCGGCCTGCTGGATGCACTGCCGCCTCCCCAGGTACGCGCACCGCGGCCTGGGCAAGCCGTGCGGGGCCAGCGCGGCGGCGGGGCAGCCCAAAAGCAAGAAGGGATCCAGAGCCCAGGCGCGGTCGGACTTCGCACGTGGGATCCTGCCAGCGTCGAAGGATCCGATCGCGCCGCTGGCCTCGCCAACGGCAAGCACGCGCCTGCGCTGGGCGGCGGCACTCCAGGCCAGGCAGGGCCACGGCTCGGAGGTCGGAGGCAGCCGAGCCGCGGCGGATCCGCCCAGGGCTCGAGCGCCCACAGAGATATTTAAAAACAAATAGAAAAAAAAATGCCCTCACCGCAACACATTGTGGCTCAATCCCCGCGCCGCCCGGAACCCCGTGCGCCGCCGCAGGGACGATGCCGAGTGCGCCGAAGGACGCCCGCGTGGCGTGCCCGCTGGAAGCCTCGCGAGGGGCTCTCCTGGCCGCGCACGCCGCCGCGGGCCTTGCAGTTGCTGGCGGGATGCCGACGGCCGCGCGTCTCTTACGCGCGGCCGAGGGGCTCCTGCGCGCGCGCGCCGCCCCCGCGCCTCCCTTGGAGGCACGGGGGCCGCCCGCGGCGTGCAACCGCCGCCGCCGTCCGCGCGGCCGTGGCGGCAGGCGGAAGCCGATGGGCGTCGAGGCGGCTGATGGCGTCGCGGGGCCACCTGGTTCGCTCGCGGCAGCTGCGCCGCCCAGGGCTGCCCCCCAGCCTGGGCGGAATCGGAGCGCGCAGCAGGACCTGGAGGAGCGCGCGATGCCCGTGGAGGGCGTCGGAGGTGGCGCTGGCGCGGGAGCTGGTGCTGGCGGGGGCGGCCCTGGCGCAAGTGCCGCTGCAGGGGCCGGCGCCGACCTCGACGACGACTCCTGGGCCGACGGCCTGGCGCAGGCGGCGGCGCGGGCTCCAGGCGTCGGCTGTGCTGCGGTGGCGGTCGCCGCGGAGGCTGAGGAGCGGGCGGGGCCGCTCGCCGCGATCCGCCTCGCGCGCCCCGGCCTGGCGGCCCATGCCAGCGACTGGCCGACGGAGCCCCTCCGGTTCGTGGCGGCCGACCCGCTACCAGGCGGCGCGGGAGCCAGCGACCGCGGGGGGCCTCCGCTCGCGCTGGCCCCGCCACCGTTCGGTGCATGAATTGATTCAAGGCCTCGGCCGCGCAGAGAGACAAACGCCCTCACTGTAGGTGGCGCGGGGCTCTCGTGGGACACCCACTTCGCTCCTTGTTGTTCTGTAGTGCGTCACGAAAGGAGACCTTTTTGGACATCGCCCGCTCTAGAAGGAATGTGTATCTTAAAGGGAACGTCGCGAGACCCACGCAACGGGATCTGTAAGTCGCCTGCAACGAGGATCTCGTTTCAAAGGGCGCCAGCAAAAGTTGCGGGTCTTTCGGGGACTAAACGGCAAACAAAAACAACATCCGTCGCACCTCCCGTGCTTTTGCTCTTCCCCGCCCCGCCCCCTCTCAGCAACAAAAATTGTAGTGTTGCGGATGTTTGTTGTTCTAGTTTCCCCGGCGGTCCAGAATAATTTACGGTTTCTTGTCAGGAGAGATATTTTTGATTGCGATTTACGATTTTTTCTATTGTGTGGATTACACATCGAGTCTTTCTGTGCGGCTTTTTCAAAGGGATTCTTCTTGTGCGCGATTTACACAATGATTCCCATTGTGCGCATTGGGCCGAGAATCCGTTTGCGCGCATTTTGAACGCGATGTCCATCGCGTGGATCTCATGTCGGTTCCTTTTGTGCGACTTTCCACTCGGGCCCCTTCTATTTGGCATGTACATAACTCTATCGCGAGGGGGTGGCCCCGTCTCGAACAACGTTGAACTACATGCGGCTCAGCCCTTACTCAGGTTTTGTTTGATGTGGACCCACCTCGAACCGCCTTCGACTAGATGCGGCCTCATTTCCATTAGCTTTCACGTGGCGGTAAATCCAATTATCATAAACTTGAATTCCTTTACCCGGAGTCTTTTGGAGGTGGTTGGATTTCAAACAGGCGCATCGTATGAACAAGTCTATACGTAACAGCGCCCTGTCAAAGAAGGCACTCACCCCTAGTAGTATCCCATCCGCATCCAAAAAAATCTGGTTGAGGATCGTTCCACGTGTATTACAATCCCATTAACTGAGAACCCACGCCACTAGAATCCTAGTAGAGGTGGCTCCACTTCAAATATGACCTTGTCAAGGATGGACGCACTTGGAACAGATTTCTACGATTGGTGAGGCCACATATCGTCGAATCGTTTTGGGAGTGGACCCAGTAGTTAGAGAAGCACATTAGGGCGGATCCACGTCTCACGGGGCTCGATTGGAGGTGTTTGCGATCCACCACTAACAGAGACTGGTTAAAAATGGGCGGGGCCGCGTGCAGTATAATGTGTCGACGGATGGCGGCACCTCCGCCCAATAAAACTTCATGTATGCATCCCAAATCAAGGAGCCCCCGTATAAAGCCGCACACTGCGATTTCATGTGCACGCCACACAAAAAAACGGAGTGCACATCGCCCAAAGTCAAGCCGCACCAACACGAGTTCTCTGCGTTGCCCACACACAAGAAGTCATTATGTAACTCGTGCCGCCTCGATTGACAATTAGAGCCGGGAAGGAGCCACTCGTCATATAATTTTTTCATGACTCCATCCGGCTTGGAGCCACCTGTAATGTAATCTTACGAAGGGATGGAACCACCTCTGGGATACTCATTTTGGGGATGGAGGCGTCGATCATGTAATCCTACTAGAGGTGGATCCACGTGTTGCAGAAACCTTGTAAGGATAAGCGATCCGTAATAACATCATATTCGAGCACAACCCGCGGCTCATGTAATCTTGGATCTGCCTCGACCAGAATTTTGTTACACCCTGTGCGTCCGATGGCGAAGAGGCAAAACTACATTTCCACCTCGTCAGTCTTTGATCACTTCACTCTCCTCTCCCCCGTTCTACCTTTTTTCAAACAGGCTCAGGCACTCACCGCGTCCCCTTGTCGTTGTTTGAGACGGCGCTCCGCGTACACGGCGCGCGCGCCACCTGCCTGTCGCCGCGATTGCGCGGCATCGCAGCAGCAGCGATTCGAGTCGGGCAGGTCCCCAGACATCTGGCGTCTCGATTTGTTTGAGACACGGGCCTCCGAGCTCTCGACCACTTCCCCAAGACTGGCTCTTCACCCCGATCCGTTTTCTGGTGGCCCCGAGAACCCTGGTACAGGGCTCTGAGAGGCCGACAGCGATGAAAAAACATGTTTGCCACTTTTCCGAGACGTCAGAGGTCTGGGTCAGGGGCATTGCTAGGGGGGGGGGGATACGGTTTCGATTTTTGTTGATAGCGCGTTGCGCCGCGCACTCTGGCCCATCACGTTTTGGAGCGACACGCTGTCCATTTCCCGGTCCCGAGGCGTCTGCCCGCGCCCCGAGCCCTTTCCGAGCCCTCCGGTCCGCGGAGCGGGTCGACGTTTTATATCCGATCGCTGGATGCAGCGCGTCTCCGGGGCCGCCGCCGCGACACGCCAAACAACGTTTCCCGACCGCAGGATCAGCGGACAGGGACGCATCGACCCTTCAGCGTCCACTCGTGCCCCTCCGCGCCGGCCGCCCGCGACGCCCAGGAGTCGGCGAGGCCCCTTTCCCCTGCGGAAGCCGCGGAGATCTCCTTCGCCTTGCTGCGCGGCGTGGACGAGTGCCACCAGCGGAAGGCCCCCAGAGTCCCGACGCCATGATCTTTACGCACTACCCTCCTCGAGATCAGACGCACGACGTTATCCTCCCCCCTCGCCCCCGGCGCCATGATCTTTACACAACCCTCCTCGAGATCAAACGCAAATCATTATCAATCCTCCTCGCCCCCGACGCCATGATCTTTACACACAACCCTCCTCGAGATCAGACGTAAGCTTTTATCCACCCCCCTCGCCTCCGACGCCATGACCTTTACACAAGCCTCCTCGAGATCAGACGCAAGTTGTTTTATCCGACCCCTTCGCCCCCAACGCCATGATCGTTCCATACCGTCAAGGCCCAAACGTCTCGACCCTTTCTTCGGTAGCAAATCACGGGGACCTCGAGTGTCATCTTAGTCCCGTTTTTAGAGTGCACTCGCTTGGGCTAGCGTCTGGCTAATCGATCAGAAAGTCCCAACTTAGCGTCCTCGTCCTCTCCTCCTCCCCCTCCCACCTCCTGCCTTCTCCCCTCTCCCGCCTCCTCCATCCGTCTCCCTCCCTCCTCCTCCTACAACTGCTCCTCCTCCTCTTCCCTCCTCCCTCCCCCTCCCCCTCCTCCCTCGTCTGTCCTCCTGTATCCCCTTCCCAGCTCCGCCCCCCTCTCTCCTCCTCTCCCGTCCCCTCGCCTCCTCCCCCTTCCCCTCCTCTTCACTGCAGGAAAACCCTTCTCCCGTAGAGTCATAGCATTGGTTTGCAGAGCCACAACTCCGTGGTTAGCACGATTCCTCACGTGCAGCGCCCCGTGGATCCAATTTCTTTTGCTCCATGAGATTAATTCGTATTGAAACTTGTCCCCACGAAAATAAATATATCTTGTGTTTTTTACGCACACAGGAAGTTGGATCCGCGCAACACAAAAATAGGATCCGCGAAGCTGTTGCACACCCAGAGTGATCCAAACGGATCCGTAAGTGTTGTCATATCTTAATTCCTAGAGGAAAAACGTTCGGCTTGGGGACGTATGGGCCTCATAAGGCATACGAGCCCCCCGATGAGCCCCATTCGCCTCATGGGCCCCGCGGCCTGCGCGACCCCTAAGAGCCTCAGGAGCCCTATGAGCTTATGACCCCTGTCGGCCCTATGATCCTTAGGACCCAACGACCCTCTCTTAAACTTATGAGCCTACTGGGCCCAATTAGCACAATGACCCTTATGAGTCCCATGAGCCTCACACGCCCTGTGAGACGACCCGCCCTATGGGGCCCAAGAGCCAGTGGCTTCTGTGATGTCAAGGACCCTACGAGCTCCCACGCCCACTGAGCTCATCAGCCCGAGGAGCCCTCTGAACTCAGGTACGGCTGCGGGCTCTCGGATCCTCATGATCCCCAGGAGCCGCGCTGCCCGAAGCAACCCTCTTACACATTCGCGCTCCGAGCTTTGGGGCCCCAATGGCGGCGGAAAGCCCTTCAGACCTCTGACCCAAAGGAGCCCATGGGTCCTATCAGCCTTGTGCGCCCCATGAGCCTCACTGCCGAAGCACACCGCGGTGCTGGCGACTACCAGTCGCGGCGCTGTTCGCTGGCGCCATGCGACCAAAATTTAAAGGCAAAGCGAGGCGAGCCGGTAAAGGCTTGTGTATACACAGCTACATGTTACTCGATAGTTGTTGGTGGACGCACCAAACCAGGCGCTGGCCCGCATACAGACCAATTCAACTCGGGGGTCGCCGAGCCCACGGCCCTCTGGGAAGGGTTTTTCCTGGAGGCCCACTGGGGGCGTGTTCTGAGGCCCTCCGCCGTGGTCTCACGGAATCCCATGGGGACACCTTGCTTCAGGGACGCCTCCCCCTTGAGATCTGACGACGCGAAGAGCCCCGGACCCCATCTATCGTTGCAAGCCAGATCGATGTGAGGGTCCCGGAGCCCGAAGCCAGGCGAAAACATTCGGTGCGAAACAATATCGCAACGCCTGGACCCCAGGGCTTTGGCAACATCCGATGCTATCCCAGACATCCAGCGTCTTGATTTGTTCGACATCGGGCCCCCGACCTCTCGACCACTTTCCAGTGCTGGGTGTCCTCCCCGCGTCGTTTCTGTGACGGGGCCCGAGGCCCAGTGAGGGCCCCGAGAGGCGAAGACTGTGAAAACCCTCCGCTTCCATTTTTGTGGAGATGCCAGATTCTGGTTGACGCAGAAGGGGGTCCAGCGAAAAGGGGGGGCTGCAATAGATCTGCTGCACTAGATTTATGGGGTTGCAATACATTTGGGGTATGCAACACACTCTGGCATCCTGGGGCGCACAGGTATTGCTGGACTTCTGCGTGCGATGCATTCGCTGCAGCACTGTACGCTGCGATGCAGTTCTCTGGCGCCAGACAGTTGCAAGACAGCGGGGGGGGCTGAGCCGAGCATCCGGAAGGACGCGTGGGCAGAAGAGTGCACGATTGGCAGCTCTTCGTGGAAATCTACAGTACACCCGCTCGACTGTGAATCGCTCCAAACCTGTGGCACCACCCCCTCTCGGCTGGACCCCGCTCTTGGGCCACGAGAACAGACGCCTGGGTTTTTCAGGCTATACGCACGCCGCCACGGCGTTCGGCAGGAGCGCGCGCCGGCTCCCGGGGCCTGCTCTACGCGGTGGGGGCGTCCGTTGCCCTCCTCCTCCTCCTCCTCCTCCTCCTCCTCCTCCTCCTCCCCCTCCTCCTCCTCCTCCTCCTCCTCCTCCTCCTCCTCCTCCTCCTCCTCCTCCCGCGCGCGCCTGCTCCCGGACGTGCCCGGGAGGCGCCAGACCCTGCAGGGTTCCTTCTCTGCTGAGGGCGGCGGCGACATCCACGGCCGATCAGCGGTTGGCGTTCCGCTGGCCTCCAGGCCCTGGATTTCCGTATCGAAGGCTTCCCCATCCGATGCCATCACCGGAGCTGTCGGTGCCGCCCCGAGAGGGGCCTGCGGCGCTCTCGCCCAGAGCGCCGCGCCGACCGGCATCGAGTGCGTGTCTCGCCCGCGCACGCGGCGGTTGCTGCGTGCTTCTGCACAGTCAGACCGCACAGTAAGGACGGGCAACCTGATGGACGTCTCGTTGCGCCTCGACGGTGGAAAATGCAGTAGCGGACTGGCACAGTAGTATACGACAGATGCGTGACATTCGTCGCCCATCAGGGGAGCGCTCCGCCCCCGGGCCACGTTTAAGTGGCCCACGCGCGTCATCAACCGGCTGCTCGGAGCATGGCGCGAGAAAAAAATGTAAGGATGGGCAACCTTCCCAAGGGCACCCTTGCATCCTTGCCCCTTCGGCCCATCCTTGGCGACTCTCGCTAGCCAACCTCGTTCGAAAAACGCTAACGTGTCCCTCCACGGCCCTTGCATCCTTACCGCGCATCCTTATGATACGGGTTGACTGTCCTCGTATTGGTCCCAAGATCTCCGACGGAATGGGCGTTTCAATCGCGGTGTGCTTCCTGGCCCTCCGGGGGCGGCTTTCAGGCCCGGGGGGCATGAACAATTGATGCACGACGCATCGGGCGGGGCTTTCCAGAGCCTTCCAGAGACTTCCAGAGCCTTCCATCATCCTTCCAGAGACTTTCGAAATTGTTCCAGAGCCTTCCTTAGTATATGATGGCGGGCGAAAGACGGATCTCGCTCTGGGCAGGTATATTATCGTTCCAGAGCTATCCAGAGCGCTCTCAGAGCGTCCCGGCTTGCTCTGAGAAGGCCGCGGCGCCCGATACATCCTCCAGGGCAGCTGGATCTCAGAAGTCTCCGAAGTCCCGAAGTCATCCCTGGCCGATCGTGTCCCTGTCCCGGCTCCGTCTTCACGAAGTGCGCCCAGAGGTGCGGGGGTCAGGAGATGTGGGGGCACGGTCCTCGCCGTCGTCGCCGTCGTCGTCGTCGCCGTCGTCGTCGCCGCCGTCCTCGTCGTCGTCGCCGCCGTCCTCGTCGTCGTCGCCGTCGTCGTCGGCTGCCTCGGCTCTCCGCCTCTGCGGGAGGCGCCCTCCGCGCCCTCCGCCTGGCTGGCGCCGCCGCGGCGGGGCACGCTGGCCGGGCGGGCCCCCTTCGGGGGGGGGGGCCCTCGGGGGCGCCCCAGGCGACGCCCTCGCGCCCATGGCTCGGGCCCCCGGGCCCCCTCGCAGAGCGAGCTGGCTCGAGAGGTGATGGCAGCAGGAGGATTTTGAGTCGGGCGTGTCCTCCCTCTGCAGGAGGAATCTCCTCGAAGGTAGGCCACAGATGAGAGTGGGACGTTTCTTCTATTTTTCCATGGGTTTGTTTGAACATGTGTGGAATGTGTGTGTCGTGGCTCATCCGAAGAGCCGCCTGTGGGAGGACGTGCCCGACCTCAGCCTACAGGGGTCCAGTCGTGATCGTGTCACGATGCTGCATTTTTGTTCGCGACGCCGGATCTGCGGGGGAAGGCGGAGGTCAAGGGCCCCCCTCCTCATCGGAGTTCATGGCATCGCAGGCGATCCTTCCCCCCCCCCAGTTCCCCTCGCTAAACCCCCCAATTCCAAGACCTGGCCTCTGAGAAGGAGAACAAGAGCAAGATAGAAAGAGAGAGAGGGAGAGAGAGACCCCCAAAAACGAAGACGGTGGATATATCCCCGGGGGGCTGTTCGGACGCACCCCTATCGAGGAATTCTCCAGGTCGGTAATCCCTCTGCGCCGGGAATGTCTTCGGGATCGCCACACACCCCAGTACCCCAGACCCCCGACGTCGTGATTTTGTCCACGACGTCGACCCCCAGAGGTCTGGACCCCTTCCCGGGGACCGGTTTTTCATCCTTCGAGTCGTGCTTTGACGGCCCCGAAGCCCGGGAAGGGCCCCCAGATGCCGAAATTATAGCGAAACACCTTCCGTCGTACAGTCGGGGCCCTGGAGAAGGAACGCTTTTCGTTGGGGAGGGGCTCCGCGTCCCTGAAGTGTTTCGCAGCTTGCCTCAGGCTTCCCTTATGTTTTCGACAGGAAGTCGAAGGTTAACTTATGGAAAGAAGGGGCCTCGTTCCTTACTTAGGGTTCCTTAGGTCAAGGCCCCGACTGCATTCCCAGACCCCTGACGTCATGATTTTTTCATGACGTCGACCCCAAAAGTTTCGACCTGTTTCCCGGGACCGGTGTTTCATCCTGAGTCGTTTTTTGACGGTCCCGAGGCCCGGTAAGGGCCCCGAGAGGCCGAAAATCGTGAAAAACTTCCCGTCGTGATTTTTTCATAACTCGAGGGGGTCTGGGTTTAGGGTTCCTTAGGTCAAGGCCCCGACTGCATTCTTGTCACAGCGCGAGGAGGCCCGGGGACGGGAGCAAAAGCCGCGCGCGCGGCCGGCGTCGGGCGCTCGGCCTCGGGCCGGGCCGTGGCCTCGCGGCAGGTGCTGCACCTGGGGCTGCACCCCGAGACGGCGGGCCGCGGGGGGCCGCCGGCGCCCCGAAGCGTCTCATGGGCTCGGCATCGCCGGTTCGATGCCCACCGGGCCAGAGGGAACCCCAGACCTCCTCGAGTCATGAAAAAATCACGACGGAAGGTTTTTCCATATTTTTCGCCTCTGGGGGCCCTTACCGGCCTTCGGAACCGTCAAAAAACGACTCAGGATGAAAAACCGGTCCCGGCGAATAGGTCCGGACCTCTGGTGGTCGCGTCATGAAAAAATCATGACGTCGGGGGTCTGGGATTACGGAAGGGGCGAGCGAACCGGGGCTGAACCCCGAGACGGCGGGCTGCGGAGGGCTGCCGGCGCCCCGAAGCGTCTCTGGGCTCGGCATCGCCAGTTCGATCCCTGGGCCGGGCCACTGGTCGGGGCGGGCGAGCCGGTAAAACAGGGCTACCCTGACTCCGGATCCGCCCTACTTTGGGGAAATTCGTAAGCAGGGCTTGGAATTTCCGCCTTACTTTTCAAGCCTCGCTGATGCCAATTTCCGCCCTTCTTTTCTGCTGCTGTTTCTGCCCTACTTCTGTGGATTTCCGCCCTACTTTATGCTGGGTGCAGGAATTTCCGCCCTACTTTTTCGGCCTCATATAGGTGGATTTCCGACGCAATTTTAAGTTGGAAAAAAGCCAAAGTAGGGCGGATCCGGAGTCAGGGTAGGATCGGGACAAAGCGCTCCAGAGCGTTCCGGAGCGCTCTCAGAGCGTTCCGGAGCGCTCTGGAGCGGCCGCGGCGCCCAGTACATCCTCCAAACCCGCCGACTCAGAGATTTCGAATTGTCCCGATCCGATTTTGTCCCGATCTTCGCGTCGTTTTAATCGGGTACGGAAGGCATGGGTGCAGAGACCGACAGGAGTTCTTGGTCACTGTGGGCAGGACTCGCTGTCCTCGCCGCCGCGGCCTGTGTGCATCCGAGACAGAAGGCCGCCTGCCCAGCAGCGGCCGCAGTCGGTTTTGGACAACCTTTGTTGTTGGGCATTTTGTGCCACTTTTTCCCGTGCCCGTTCCGGGCGTCCAGAATGCCCACTCGGCCACGGCATTTGAGTCCCACCAGCCTGCCCCCCCAAGGCCTCCCCCACAGGGGTGGGGGGGAATCGTGGCGCGTAAAAGCCCAAAGGGAACAGCGCAGAGCAGAAATGCCCACCCAGGGGGGGAGGTCGGCCAGAGGGGTCTGCGCGTGCCAGTGGGGAGGGGGGTCGGTGGAACGATGCTCCGCCTGGCCCGCTGCGGGGAGCGCCGCTCGGAGCGACGGGCGTGCCCGTAGCCGTTGCCTCGCGGCCCTGGTTCGGAAGAGAGCTTGGCGAGGCAGCCTCTGCGTTCGCGGTCCCCTCCGAATCTCCTGGAGGCTTCTCGTCGCCACCTGCTGGGTCCGCCTCGAAAAGCGGATCTGGATGGGCCCTGGGGAACGATGTCGAGTGGTCTGTGGGACAGGCGGGAGAGCCGCCGTTGTCGCAATCAATCCAGACGCTATTTGATCTGACTTGTTCCGTCCGCAGGGCTCCCGACCCCTTCCCCGAGAGCAGTTCCCTCCACTTGTGCTATTTTGAGATTTCCCCGGAGCCCGAGAAGTAGTGGGCTCCAGGGGCCGAGATCCAGGAACAGCGCCCGGTTGGCGAACACCACGTCGTCTGAGATCTGGTAAAATTGGCCCGCCTCCGATGAGTGTCGAGTACTTGATGAAGCGATTAAGAACGCTCCTGTGTTACCGTTAGCATCGGAACGGAAATGAATCATTCGCAGGAGGCTTATTTAGCGCAGCGGTTTCTGTAGCAACGCACCAGACCGCAACAAATAGATAAGTAATCCCCCCGCGACCGACATCAATAGTGAGGATTGGCGGCAAGAGCGCAAGAGCCTTGAACACCGAAGATGGCGAACTGCCAACACCCTGAATCGCTTGCTGCGTGCTCGCGTGAAGCTCTTGGGGGGGCCTCTGGAGGAGCTGAATTTCTCACCGCCCCTCCTTCCTCCTCCTTTTCTCTTTCTCCTCGCCGCCCTGTTGATATGCGATTCCAGTTGCAATCCCCAAGGAGAAATTTATTTC